GATGTTCAGGGAATGGAGGTGACACCGGCTGTCAGCGCAGGATTTAGTGCTGCAGAGCCCAAGGGGGCTGCCCATCAAGACCCGTTTGTGTCACTCCGAGTCTCCTTATTAATAACTTTTCTGGGGGGGGGAGGGCTGGCCTTTGCAAAATGGATGGGGAAAGAGGCGAGGCTCCCAGGCCTGTGCGGAAGAGGCCGAAAGAAGACGCTGGTCCAGGGAGAGAGGGAAAAACAATGGAGGGAAATGAAGTGAGGGAGGGGGTGGGTGGGGGAACGCAGTGGCTGAGAATAATCTCGGGAACAATTCGTGCTCTCTATTGTCAGGGCTCTGCTAAAACTAGGACGATAGAATTCGGGCTTCTGTTCCCAGAGGCATAAAGTCAGCCTCTTGGGGACTCCAGGCAGCTAGAGTTTGCAAGTTAAGATAGCGCATGTCTGGGTTACCAAGAGGGGGCATGAATGAGAGGAAGAGAGAAAGAAAAGAAAAGAAAAGAAAAGAAAAGAAAAGAAAGAAGGAAGGAAGGAAGATTGAAGGAACATGGATGGAAGAAAGGAAGGAAGGAACATTGAAGGAAGATGAATAGAAGGAAAGAAAGAAAGAAAGAAAGAAAGAAAGAAAGAAAGAAAGAAAGAAAGAAAGATTGAGGGAACATGGATGGAAGGAAGGAAGGAACATTGGATAGAAAGAAAGAAAGAGACAGAGAGAAAGAAAGAAAGAGAAAGAAAGAAAAAGAAAACGGATGGAAGGAAGGAACATTGAAGGAAGATGGATAGAAAGAAAGAAAGAAAGAAAGAAAGAAAGAAAGATTGAAGGAACATGGATGGAAGGAAGGAAAGAAAAACATTGAAGGTGGAAGGAAGGAAGGAAGGAAGGAAGAAAAGAAAGAAAAAGAAAGAAGGAACATGGATGGAAGGAAGGAAGCATGGAAGGAAGGAAGAAACATTGAAGGAAGATGGATAGAAGGAAAGAAAGAAAGAAGAAAGAAAGGAAAGAAAGATTGAAGGAACATGGATGGAAGGAAGGAAGCATGGAAGGAAGGAAGGAAGGAAGGAAGGAAGGAAGGAACATTGAAGGAAGATGGATAGAAGGAAGGAAAGAAAGAAAGAAGAAAGAAAAAGAAAGAAAAAAAAGAAAGAAAGAAGAAAGGAATGAAGGATGGAAGGAAGGAAAGAGATAGGTGTATATCAGTAGAAACAGAAGAAAGGAAGGGAGGGAGGGAGGAAGGGAAGGGAGGGGGAGACGGAGGGAAGGAGGGAGGGGAGGGGGAGAAGAGGGGAGAAGAAGGGCTGAGGAGGGAGGGGGGAGGAACAGAGGGAAGGGGAGGAGAGGGGAGGAAGGGAAAGGAAAGAAAAGGAAAGGATCCATTAGTTATCCAGCAAAGTAGACTTACATAAGTAAAAAAGTTCCATTTTTCAAATGGAAAACTGAGGTTGACTGGAGCGACGTGCCATTGCGGTCACAGAATAACGTAGAAACTGGCTAGCTGAAATGACTGCTTTCCAGAACTCTACCAGAGAGCTTGTTTTGGGGGTCGTGTCCCTCCAGAGACCAAGAAGACCCCCCCTCCCACGCTGGCCCTTCCTAGGGCCCTAGAGAGCTGCTTCTGTGCCAGCCCTGGGACTCCAGCTCTGTGAAAGCTGCATTGGAGCTATTGACAAGTGTTGTCTTTCTCGGCTGCTCCAGATTTTAATTTTTTTCATCCGCGATATAACTGACTTTATTCTGTTTATTGTTCGCCGCCCTCCCCCAGTCCCTTGTGGAAAGGGATGGCTTGAAAACCCAAGTCAGAAAATAAATAAAAAAAAAACACATCCTTTAGCAAAGGAGGAATCAAGAACCGGGAGGATGGAAGCAGAGACGGCTGTTTTTCACACACTGTCCCGCCGTGAAAAAGGAAGACATTTGTGTGTCAGAGTCCTTTTGACGGCAACGCCATCCATTTGAAATGTTGAGGTAGGTAAAAATCTTATTATTTCCTGTTGGGAAATTTTAAAGACTGGAAACGACCGTTCAAAGGAACAGTTTAGATTGGAATTAAGGACCAGGCAGTTCCAGGCTATATGAAACATACTCCCTGCATGCTTCTGTACACGGTTTGCAGAACATAGAACGTACCATCATAGGGCTGGAAGGGACCTTGGAGGTCATCTAGTCCAACCCCCCCTGCTCAGGCAGGAAACCCTATACCATTTCGGACAAATGGCTGTCCAGTCTCTTCTTAAAAACTTCCAGTGTTGGAGCATTCACTGCTTCTGGAGGCAGGTTGTTCCACTGGTTAATTGTTCTCACTGTCAGGAAGTTTCTCCAGGTTGCTTCTCTCCTGGATTGATTTCCACCCGTTGCTTCTTGTCCTGCCTTCTGGTGCTTTGAAGAACAGAACCGAACAAACTAGGAAGGGACCGTGGAGGTCTTCTAGTCCAACCTCTGCTCAACCTGGAGACCCTATCCCATTCTGGACAAATGGCCTTCCAGTCTCTTCTTAGAAACCTCCAGTGATGGAGCACCCACAATTTCTGAAGGCAAGTAGTTCCACTGGTTAATGGTTCTCACTGTCAGTTTCTCCTTAGTTCCAGGTTGCTTCTCTCCTTGATGAGTTTCCATCCGTTGCTTCTTGTCCTGCCTTCAGGCGCTTTGGAGGATACATCTCCCCAGGTCATGCATTAGGGCAGTGGTGGCGAACCTATGGCACGGGTGCCAGAGGCGGCACTCGGAGCCCTCTCTGTGGGCACACGTGCCGTTGCCCCAGCCTTGCCTCCCCCCGCGACCCCCTCCTCTCCAGCAGCCCCCATGAAGGAGAGTCGCCCCTGAGCGTGGTCCACATGGAGCAGCGCAGCCAAGGACATGGCAGCCAGGCAGCGTAGACAAGACTCTGCCCTCACGCCCCATCGTGCACAGTTGATGCTGCGGGGCGCGGGCAGAGGGTGTGGCCGCCATAGCGCTGCTGGGCTGCCTGGGTGATCTGCAGTGGGCCTTGGAGGCGGTGAGTGGTCCTGTGGGCAGGTGGGGCAGGGGATGGGACAGCAGAGTGGGGGGGGGGCAGGGGATGGAGTGGGGCGGGGCCAGTTTTTGGGGCACTCGGTCTCTAAAAGGTTCGCCATCACTGCATTAGGGCAACTGATTCATTTGCAATGAAGACCAGCCAGGTGTTACAGACCATCACAGAGAGAAAAAAAAAAACCCCTCATTTTTAAGGTGTTGATGCTGCAGTCCACACAAAAGCGTCCAGTTTCTCTTGGCACACTTCACCGTGGAACTGCCCCATCTCTGAAGATGTTGTTCTGAAGGTCTGTCTGGAAAGAAGATCCTGGATTGATTCTCCCCCCCCCATGTGGAAATGGATCCATTTCAAATCTATGGACGTGATCCGTCTTTGGATCACGTCCATAGATTATTTTAAACAGTCAGCATGCAATAAGGATATGGGTGCTGGGCTAAGAGATCAAGATGCAAGGAGACATCCAGAAAATACCCAAGAAGGCGTATGAGCTGGAAACCCAAGTCCCTCAGTCACAGAAACTCCTTTGGCCCAACCCAGCCGGGTTGTTGTGTAAAAAAGGGGAGGTGAGAAGAAAAACATTGACAACTCTCAAAGCAATGTTTCTCAACCTTGGCAACTTCAAATTCCCAGAACTCTGGGAGTAGAATGGAATGGAATGGAATGGAATGGAATAGAAAATATGGAATGGAATGGAATGGAATGGAATGGAATAGAATAGAATAGAATAGAATAGAATAGAATAGAATAGAATAGAATAGAATAGAATAGAATAGAATAGAATAGAATATGGAGTGGAATGCAATAGAAATAGACTAGACTCGACTAGATAGACTAGATTGGAATAGAATAGAATAGAATAGAATAGAATAGAATAGAATAGAATAGAATAGAATAGAATAGAATAGAATAGAATAGAATAGAAAATACGGAATGGAATGGAATGGAATAGAATAGAAAATATGGAATGGACTGGACTGGACTGGAATAGAATAGAATAGAATAGAATAGAATAGAATAGAATAGAATAGAATGGAAAATATGGAATGGAATAGAATAGAATAGAATAGAATAGAATAGAATAGAATAGAATAGAATAGAATAGAATAGAATGGAATGGAATAGAATAGAATAGAATAGAATAGAATAGAATAGAATAGAAAATATGGAATGGACTGCACTGGACTGGAATAGAATAGAATAGAATAGAATTGAATAGAAAATATGGAATGGAATGGAATGGAATGGAATGGAATAGAATAGAATAGAATATGCAATGAAAGGGAAGGGAACAGAAGAGAAGAGAACAGAATAGAAATAGAAAATAGAATAATATATAGAATTGAACAGAACAGAACAGAACAGAACAGATGATGGAATGGAATGGAACAGACTAGACTAGACTAGGACTAGAAATAGAAATAGAAAATAGAACAATATATAGAACAGAACAGAACAGAATAGAAGAGGGAATGGAAAGGAACAGAACAGAGAAATAGAAATAGAAAATAGAACAATATATAAATAGAACAGAACAGAATAGAATAGAAGATAGAACGGAATGGAATGGAACCGAACAGACTAGACTAGACTAGATTAGACTAGAATAGAATAGAATAGAAAATAGAATAGAAAAAATAAAATAGAACTGCTTGCACAGCTCTTCGGGCTGCTTCTGTTGCCCGGGACAGGAGACCTCATGGCACTTTGGGCCATCTCCGCTGCAGAAAGGTCCCAAAGAGCACACAGCGTTCTGCCAGGAGAAGCAGCAACGACGCAATGCGCCACATGGCAACCGGCCGCAAGTGGCAGCAAGCGTCCGTAGAAGAAGTCAAGCAGTGGCAAAACAGGTGTTGGGGGCTGGAAGGCCTGGCTGCGGAGAAGACATTCTCCGAAATTAAGACCTAGTGCTTCTTTTGGAGGCAAAAAAAAAAATAAATAAGACTGGGTCTTAATTTCGGGGAAACACAGTACTTCATTACGAAGATATTCAAACTCCAGGATGTAGATTCACGGGCCGTTTATTCTTACGCACGGCTGCCTCCTCCGGGTTGCCAAGGTCCAAGCAAAGTCAAGATGGCAGCAAAGTTGTAATTTCCACAGTCACCTGGGACTCACCCAGGTTTTTCTCCACCAAGCTGCATCCACCCTACTTTAGGACCCCCCAAACGTTAATGATGTGTAGAGCAAAAACTCAAGAGGGCGTTCCCTTTGCTACCTGGACTCCTGTTGACTATGAAGATGTCTTTCGCAGACATCTTATCTTCTCCAACACCTTGCCTTCTTTCTGTCTAAAAAGAGAGGGGTGGGTTTTTTGGGGGGGGACTACTTCTGGGAGACAGTTCCCAGAATGCACGTGGCTGGCAGGTGTGACAAAAGCCTCTGCTTCAATCTCGGCACGTCACGCCGGGCACTGGTAGCTGCAGAAGTCAGCAGACTGGAAGAAGTGGTAGACGTTCACCAAGGGAAACATCAACACAGCTCCGAGCAGAGAGCCCAGCTGCTCCACCGCTCCGTACCAAACAAGGGCGTTGTGGCTGCAGCTGCGAAGGACCATCCCCAGCATCACCTTGACGTAGGTGAGGGCTCCGGTGAAGGACACCCAGGTGATCACCTGTTGATAGAAGGAGAGAAGAGGCAGGTCAGAAGGCACCAATTTGAGATCTTGGAAGATCTCCAGAAGTTGTGGGTGCTCCATCACTGGAGACTTTTAAGAAGAGATTGGACAGCCATTTCTCCAGAGGGGTATAGGGCAGGGGGTTCCAACCTTGACCACTTTAGGACTTCTGGACTTCAGCACCCAGAGTTCCTCAGCCAGCCACGGTCCTTGAATATACGTCCTTGAGTTCGAATGTTGCATGCTGGAAAAGTTGCATCCTGGGATCTGAAGTCGACAAGTCTTAAAGTTGCCAACGTTGCTTGAGCAGGGGGTTGGACTAGAAGACCTCCATGGTCCCTTCCAACTCTGTTATTCTATTCTGTTCTGTTCCTGTTCTGTTCTGTTCTATTCTATTCTATTCTATTCTATTTTATTCTATTCTATTCTACATTCTAGTCTAGTCTAGTCTAACCTAATCTACAATCTGTTCTATAGAATAGAATAGAATAGAATAGAATAGAATAGAATTATAGAATAGAATTACAAAATAGAATAGAATAGAAACAGCAGATTGTAGAATAGAATAGAATAGAATTACAAAATAGAATAGAATTATAGAATAGAATAGAATGGAATAGAATAGAATGAAATAGAATAGAATAGAATAGAATAGAAATAGTATAGAAGTATAGAATAGAAAAGAAGTAGAATAGAATTATAGAATAGAATAGAATTATAGAATAGAATAGAAATAGAATAGAATAGAATTATAGAATAGAATAGAAATAGCAGATTGTAGAATAGAATTACAAAATAGAATAGAATAGAATAGAAATAGCAGATTATAGAATAGAATAGAATAGAATTGCAAAATAAAATAGAATAGAATAGAATATAGAATAGAAATAGAATAGAATTATAGAATAGAATAGAATAGAATAGAATAGAATAGAATAACTGTTGAAAGGGACCTTGGAGATCATCTAGCCCAACCCCCTGCCCCCAGCAGGAAACCCTGTATCGTTTCAGACAAAGGGCTGTCCAGTCTCTTCTTAACACCTTCCAACACGAGGGAGCTGCCTACTTACAATCAGGGCATCTCCCCAGTAGGAGTGCTGCAAGAGCGGGCAGGGGCTGAGCACGGCCATCGCCAGGTTGTAGACCCCAAAGGCGGTTCCTGCAACGGTCAGGATCCCCAAGAACAGAAGAGACCTGGAGGAGGGAACGGAGGAGGGCGTGGGTGGCTTCTACTGGAGTCCGACTCCGAGGTAGCCCAGAGCAAGCCAAGAATTAGCCAGGGAGCAGGCGGAAGAGGTAACCTGGGTTTACATGCCCTGCTAAGCCAGGATTTGGGACAGGACGATTGGGCTGCTTGTGAACCGTTAAGGAGTTTGAGAAAAAACAACAACCCTGGAATGTTGATATTATGATGGGGTCCTCGGGGCTCTCGGAGCTGGATTGTTTTTCTTGCAGACGTTTCATGACCCCACTAGGTCAGTGGTTCTCCACCTGTGGGTCAGGACCCCATTTGGGGTCGAACGACCATTTCACGGGGGTCGCCAAACAACGCCGTCCGCCATTTTTTTCCCCTTTTCCTTAGCTGTGCTCCTCCCTACTCCTCCTCTTCCTCCTCCCTGCAATTCGCATTCCCTTCTAGCACTGATGATGTTCCCTAGTTGGATCATGAAACGTCTGGAAGAAAACATCCAAGCTCAGAGAGCACCAAGGACCCCATAACTTCACTTCTCCTCCTCCTCCTCCTCCTCCTCCTCCTCCTCCTCCTCCTCCTCCTCCTCCCCCTCTCTGCAATTCCCATTCCCTTCTAACACTGATGATGTTACCTAGTCAGGTCATGAAACGTCTGAAAGAAAACAAGCAAGGCAAGAGGTCTCCAAGGACCCTACAATCTTCCCCCTCCTCCTCCTCCTCCTCCTCCTCCTCCTCCTCCTCCTCCTCCTCCTCTTCTTCTTTTTCTCCTCTTCCTCTTCGCAAGCACCACTCCCTTCTAGCACTGATGATGTTATCTAAACTGGTCCTGAAATGCCGGCAAGAAAACCACCCAGCTCAGAGAGCAACAAGGACCCCACAGTTGAACCCTGAGCTACAGACGTCCCTGGGTACAATCGGCTTGACCGGGAGCCCAGACCTGTTGGGTAGGAAGGTGGCCACGGTGCAGGCCAGGGGGTTGGCCATGGAGCTCAAGGTGGCCACCAAGTGGTAGGCCAGGTTGCCGTAAGGCAAGGAGGAGTAGCTTTGCACGGAGGGAAGGATGCCGTTGGTCAGCGCGTTGACCCAAGTGACCAGGAAGTAGATGAAGACCAATTTGGAGCAGGTGTACGTGACCTTCTCCGCCCCTTTGTCCTCTTCACTGGCGCCCTCCAGCTTTCTCTCCGTAGAGTAGCTTGGGCTTCCCTTCCAGTTGGCCGGCCCCTCCTTGCCCGCGGGGACCTCCTGGATGGAGTGCAGGGTGATCTCGCTGGAACACAAATCCTGCGTGGAAAGGTCCCACGACTTGGGCTGTCGGTTGAGGAGGAGGAAGGCCACCAGGCAGAAGAACATCATGGCGGACAGGAGAAGGAAGAAGACCAAGCTGGAGAAGTTGGCTGGGGAGTAGCGTGTCTCCATTGTGGGAGAGTCGCCCGGCCCTGATACGTTGCCCCAGGAAGAGTTGCCCACACTGGCGTTGATGGTTGGCGCCGGGACCTGGACGCAACTCGCAATGCCAGCTCCTTGGGCCAAGGCGAAGATAGCGGGGATGAAGCCACTGAGTCCTTCCCCGATGAAGAGGGTGGGGATGTACCGAGGGTGGAAGTGAGCCATAAAGGGCAGGAAGGTGACGGATGAGGTGCAGTCCACCAGGGAGAGGAAGAAGGTAAGGACGAAGAAAGACACGCTGTGCGGTTCTCCAGCGACGGGCGTGGTGTAATGCCAAAGGAAGGCCAGGAGGAAGCAAGCTAAGATGCCCGTGGAAACCACCACGCAGATGACTGGGACTTCCTTCAGGAGGCCAGGTTTCAGTTTGTGCATGACAGTCACGAAGAGAGGTCCAACGTTGGCCAGTTGGATGATGATGGTGAGGTAGGAAGGCAGGTACCAGCCTTCCGGCAATTCGGTCACCAGCAGGGGAAGCTCGACCCAAACTCCGTTGATGGCCATCCAGGAACCGGTGCCAAAGACACAAGCCAGGAGGTGAGTGAGCCAGGCCATCTTGCTTCTGGAGCAGAAGACCTGTGGGAGAAGAGCGGGGGCTTAACAGCAAGCAAGAAGACTCGAGCTGTGCTTTTCAACCTCCGCCACTTTAAGAGGCTTGGACTTCAACTCCCAGAATTCCTCAGCCAGCCAGGACTTGCCTGAAGCTAATACAGTCCTGGGCATGGGAATCACGATCACGCGAAGTATTAGGACCGCTTTATAAAACCCTAGTGAAACCACCCCTGGAATACTGCAGCCAATTTTGGTCACCATACTACAAAAAAGACGTTGAGAGTTTGGAAAAAGTTCAGAGAAGAGCAACTAAGACAGTGTTTCTCAACCTTGACAATTTTAAGGCATGTGGACTTCAACTCCCAGAATTCCACAGCCAGCATTGCTGGCTGTGGAATTCTGGGAGTTGAAATCCACATGCCTTAAAATTGCCAAGGTTGAGAAACACTGAACTAAGAGGATCCAAGGCCTGGAGATCAAAACATAGGAAGAACAGCTGCGGGACTTGGGTTTGGTTGGTCTAAAGCAGACATGTCAAACACAAGGCCAGGGGGCTGGATGCGGCCCGCGACATAGTTTCATGTGGCCCGCGAAGCCATCCTGGAAACAGTGAGGGAACAGCCCCCGCTGCCTTGGCCCTGGTCCAGGCTGGCCGGGAGCCAATGTACAATTTTGTGGTGGCCATCTATGCTGAAACGCATTCGGTCTTAGCTCCACAAGGCCGTCTGGAAACAGCGAGGAACCAGCCCCTGTTGCGTCGGCCCACCCCCTGGGTGCATGCTGGGGAGGGGTCACCCTTTGTGGGGAATGAAGAAATGCACCATCGCCTGGAAGTGGCCAGCAAATGGCCCTCTCCTACTTCACCTATCCGGCTTGATGGGCTCCGGTGGAGGGGTTTCAGCAGGCTCTTCCAGTGGACCATGCCTTGGCGCTTGCCCTGGTCCCACCCCCTTGTGCCAGAGACCCTCAGATCTGTCCCACTCTTGCCCAGGCACCCACGGGCACCCTTGACGCGAACGATGTAGAGCTGGACACGCCCACCCAGTAGGCCACACCCTCTCCAGCCATGCCCACCCAGTAGGCCATGCCCACTTTGGCCACACCTACCCAGTCCCCTGAGGACAACCACAATGCTGATGCGGCCCTCAATGAAATTGAGTTTGACACCCCTGGTCTAAAGAAAAGAAGAAATAGGGGAGACATGATAGCAGAGGTCCAGCATCTGAGGGCTGCCACAAGGAAGAGGGGGTCACGTTATTCTCCAAAGCACCAGAGGGAAGGATGAGAAACAATGGTTGGAAACTGTTCAAGGAAAGAAGCAACCTGGAATTAAGGAGAAACTTCCTGACAGTGAGGACAATTAACCAGTGGAACAGCTTTTCACCAGAAATCGTGGGTGTTCCATCACTGGAGATTTTCAAGAAGAGACTAGACAGTCACTTGTCTGAAATGGTATAGGTTCTCCTATAGAATAGAATAGAATAGAATAGAATAGAATAATAGAAGAAGGTGAGAAGTAAGTAGGAAGGTGAAGGAGAGAGGGTGAGTGAGAAAGAGAAAGAAGAAGGAAAGAGGCAAGTTGGTCAGAGGGTGGATGCGGTTTGGGGGGAAATGGGTGAGCAATACCGAAAATGGTGTGTATTAATTTGTTTTATTTTTTATCTGAAGCATTTTTCAGAATGTAATGTATTGTAAAATTGAAAATAAAATTTTTTTACAAAAAAAATAGAATAGAATAGAATAGAATAGAATAGAATAGAAGAATGGGAATGAAATAGAATAGAATGGAATGGAATGGAATGGAATAGAACAGAACAGAACAGAATAGAAAATATGGAATGGAATGGAATGGAATAGAATAGAATAGAATAGAATAGAATAGAATAGAATAGAATAGAATAGAATAGAATAGAAAATATGGAATAGAAAGAATGGATATAGGATATAGGAATAGAATAGAATGGAATAATAATAGAATAGAATAGAATAGAATAGAATAGAATAGAATAGAATAGAATAGAATAGAATAGAATAGAATAGAATAGAATATATGGAATGGAATGGAATGGAATGGAATAGAATAGAATAGAATAGAATAGAATAGAATAGAATAGAATAGAATAGAATAGAATAGAATAGAACTGGACCTTGGAGGTCTTCAAGCAGGAGAACCTATACCATCTCAGACAAGTGACTGTCTAGTCTCTTCTTAAAATCCTCCAGTGATGGAGCACCCACGATTTCTGGTGGCAAGCTGTTCCACTGGTTAATTGTCCTCACCGTCGGGACGTTTCTCCTTAATTCCAGGTTGCTTCTCTCCTTGATCCGTTTCCAACCATTGTTTCTCGTCCTACCCTCTGGTGCTTTGGAGAATAACATGGCACTCACACCCTCTTCTTTGCGGCAGCCTCTCATATACTGGAACACCGCTATCAAATACAGTTTGAAAAACTCTGCGCTGTCCCTTTAAGAGGACTGCCCCGTCTGCTCCTCTCTAGCCTAGCGGTAAATAATGAAAGAATGCAGGGATTCCATCCCTGTCCACCTGGGTACCTTTTCTACCTGATAGGGCTTGGTAAGGGTGGGGTGGGGGTGGGAGCCAGGTTAAGCAGCCCCTCCCAAGTCCCTGCACCCCGTCCCAGTGGACAGATCGAAGGACAAATGTGCACAACTGTCCCAGGTGCACCAAAACTGGAAGGCCTCTTTCTGCCCAAGCAGGTGGGCGAGTTCCGTTTAGCGTCGAAAACCGGCCTGGGCAGAAAGCGAGGACTCGTGAAACATACCTTCAGTTTTGCAAGCACCTTTGCCCAGGTGAGCAACTGTCCCTTTGTGCCTTTCCTAGCCAAGCAGGCTGCGGTTGGGCTTTCCACGGCTTCCTGCAGTCAAGTCTCCAAGCCGACTGGCTTTGTTTTAGCTGGAATCTAGCCAGCTTTTCCTTTACCTGGGCGCCTATCTATAGCTGGCACCGCCTTCAAGTTAGAGCCGGAGATCCACCGTTGGTTTAAAAAAAAAAAAAAAAAGGAAAGACAGGCCGTAGGCAGAAGGGGAGCAAACTGGCTGGTCGGGATTTTTAAGGCACTGATTGTGGTTAGTGGCTGGGCGGTGTGGAGAGCGAGATGGCGTCCCTGCCCTGGGACTGTTGCAACTTCAAGGCCTGGCAGGGAACAGCTTGGCCAGCATATTGTGAGAAAGGGAAGGGGGAGTTGTTAGATTGGATGCCTTTCCTTTCCTTTTTCCTTTCCCTTTTCTTTCTTTTCCCTTTTCTTTTTCCTTACCTGTCCTCCTATTTGTCTTCCTTTCCTTTCTTTTCCTTTCCTTTCTTTTTCTTTTCTTTCTTTTCCCTTCCTTTCCTTTCCTTCCCTCCCACTTTTCTTCCTTCCCTTCCCTTTCCTTTTCCTTTCCTTTCCTCTCCTCCTATTTGTCTTCCTTTCCTTTCTTTTCCTTCCCTTTCTTTTTCTTTTCTTTCTTTTCCCTTCCTTTCCTTTCCTTTCCTTCCCTCCCACTTTTCTTCCTTCCCTTTCCTTTCCTTTCTCTTTTCCTTCCCTTCCTTTTCCTTTCCTTTTTCCTTTCCTTCCCTTCCTTTTCCTTTCCTTTCCTCTCCTCCTATTTGTCTTCCTTTCCTTTCTTTTCCTTTCCTTTCTTTTTCTTTTCTTTCTTTTCCCTTCCTTTCCTTTCCTTCCCTCCCACTTTTCTTCCTTCCCTTCCCTTTCCTTTTCCTTTCCTTTCCTCTCCTCCTATTTGTCTTCCTTTCCTTTCTTTTCCTTCCCTTTCTTTTTCTTTTCTTTCTTTTCCCTTCCTTTCCTTTCCTTTCCTTCCCTCCCACTTTTCTTCCTTCCCTTTCCTTTCCTTTCTCTTTTTCTTCCCTTCCTTTTCCTTTCCTTTTTCCTTTCCTTCCCTTCCTTTTCCTTTCCTTTCCTCTCCTCCTATTTGTCTTCCTTTCCTTTCTTTTCCTTCCCTTTCTTTTTCTTTTCTTTCTTTTCCCTTCCTTTCCTTTCCTTTCCTTCCCTCCCACTTTTCTTCCTTCCCTTTCCTTTCCTTTCCTTTCTCTTTTTCTTCCCTTCCCTTTCCTTTCCTTTTTCCTTTCCTTCCTTCCCTCCCACTTTTCTTTCTTTCCTTTCCTTCCTTCCCACTTTTCTTCCTTTCCTTTCTTTTCCTTTCCTCTTTTTTCTTTCCTTTTCTTTCTTTTCCCTTCCTTTCCTCTTTTCCTTTCTTTTCTTTTACTTTCCTTTCCTCTTTTTTTCTTTCCTTTTCTTTCTTTTCCCTTCCTTTCCTTTCCTTCCCTCCTACTTTTCTTCCTTTCCTTTCCTTTCCTTTCCTTTCCTTTCCTTTCCTTTCCTTCCCTCCCACTTTTCTTCCTTCCCTTCCCTTTCCTTTCCTTTCTCTTTTTCTTCCCTTCCCTTTCCTTTCCTTTTTCCTTTCCTTCCTTCCCTCCCACTTTTCTTTCTTTCCTTTCCTTCCTTCCCACTTTTCTTCCTTTCCTTTCTTTTCCTTTCCTCTTTTTTCTTTCCTTTTCTTTCTTTTCCCTTCCTTTCCTCTTTTCCTTTCTTTTCTTTTACTTTCCTTTCCTCTTTTTTTCTTTCCTTTTCTTTCTTTTCCCTTCCTTTCCTTTCCTTCCCTCCTACTTTTCTTCCTTTCCTTTCCTTTCCTTTCCTTTCCTTTCCTTTCCTTTCCTTTCCTCTCTTTTCCTCTCCTTTCCTTTCCTTTCCTTCCCTTCCCTTCCCCTCTCCCCTTTCCCTTTCTCACCTTCTCTCCCTTCCTCTGCCCAGGAAGGTAAGTGCTGTTTCTGAATGGGAGGACAGAGCAAGGGACTGCGTGACTGGCTTGGAAACTGTCAGAAAACGTTGAAAATGCCGTTCATGTGACAGCAGCCGCCGCCCAGCAACAGCAGCAGCGAATAGCACCAAAGGAGCCAAAGCTTCCCTAAATTTCATTCCCTCAGGAATCATGGGTCCCCAATTTTGGACACATTCGGTAAGTTAGCCCACTTGAGGTACCTGGGTTCAAATATTGTTCCCCTACGATGCACCGTTTCACCCAATTAAAGTCACAACCACGACAGTTTTTAGTCCTCTAGAGATAACCGTGCTTAAAGCGGTACTGGAAGCCTCCAGTGCACCTCACAAAATAGTGCTGTTACACAAGTGTGTTTGGCAATCAAAGCTCCTTTCTTTCCTTCTCTGGACCTTGGTGGTCTCCAACGAACACAATCACCCCCCCCCAAAAAGCAGCAATACAGGCAGTCCTCAATTTACGACCACAACCGAGTCTAAGGTTTCTGTCGTTAACTGAAAAATTTTTTAAGTGAATTTTGCCACGCTTCACGCTCTTTCTCTCCTGGGATGTGAAGTGCAGTTGTTCACTTTGCTTGTCGGAAGGTCGCCAAAGGGGAGCCCTGGAAGACCGTAACCGTCATAAATACGAGTCAGTTGCCCAGCGTCTGACTTTTGATCACGCGAGCGTGCTTCAAAGGTCATAAGTGTGAAAAATGGCCGTAAGTCCCGTTTTTCAGTGCCGTTGTGACTTTCCAATGGTCCCTAACTGAATGGTTGTAAGTTGAGGACTGCTTGTATAGAAATATTAAATCCCATTATTAATAATAGTAATACTAATAATATTACTACTACTACTACTACTACTAATAATAATAATAATAATAATAATAATAATAAAAGTTGGAAGGGACCTTGGAGGTCATCTAGTCCAACCCCCTGCTCAGGCAGGAACCCCTATACCATTTCAGACAAATGGCTATCCAGTCTCTTCTTAAAAACTTCAGCCCAATTGATTTGAGGGACACATTGCTGGACCAACACAACCTTCCCGAACAACACAAACAAACACCCAGACACACACACACACACAGAGATATAGATGATCTAATAATCACATAATTACCCCCGGTTGCCTGATTTTTCCTTGGCTCCAGGAAGAGTTCCCGGCATTAGCGAGGAAAAAACAACGACAAATTAATCGATTTTCGACGTTCAACACCCGCGCGTCCAACTTTGTCTCCCGACGTCTTCGCTTTGCCTCTGATTATGTAGCTAGCATGTGTTGGACTCTGATCAGGTGGCGGTTTATCGGCCGACTCCTGCAATAATATTCGCAGCGTTCAGAAAGTGAGTTTTTTAAGGTGTCCTGCCCACTTCTGAATTTTTCCCCTGCTTTGATCCACCCCAATACTCTTTGATCTTCTCCGGGCAGCAGGCCGCACCATTGTTTTCGCTCCTTCCGGCTTGGTCTGGCCTTGACTGTTGGGTTGGAATGCGTGCACGCTCCTTCGATTTGAATATTCGTGGCTTGTTAAGGTCAAGAAGGGGCTGGCTTGCTAAATCTTTCAAACCTGGAATTTTTCTCTGTTCAGCCGGCCGAGGGGTTTTATGAGTGGAGATCTATGGGGCAGGAACCCCCCCGTGGTCTGCAGTCTCTGGAAGAGCACCCCTACTTCCTTCCCTCCCTCCCTCTTATTTCCCACCCACCCTTTTCTTTCCCTCCCTCCCTCTTTCCTTCCTTTGTTCCTTCCTTCCTTCTTCCCTCTCTTTTTCCCTGCTCCCTTCCTCTCCCTTCTCCTTTCTTCCTTTCTTCCTCCCTCCCCCTTCCTTCCTGTTCCTCCCTTCCTTCTTCCCTCTCTTCCTCCCTGCTCCCTTCCTCCCCTTCTCTTTCCTTCCTTCCTTCCTCCCTCCCCCTTCCTTCCTGTTCCTTCCTTCCTTTTTCCCTGCTCCCTTCCTCCTCCTTCTCTTTCCTTTCTTCCTTTCTTCCTTCCTTCCTCCCTTCCTTCCTTCCCCTTCCTTCCTTCTTCCTTCTCTTCTTCCCTGCTCCCTTCCTCCCCCTTCTCTTTCCTTCCTTCCTTCCTTCCTTCCTTCCTTCCTTCCTTCCTTCCTTCCTTCCTTCCTTCCTTCCTCCCTCCCTCCCTCTTTACTTTCTTTACCTCTTTCCCTTTCCTTTCCTTCCTCTCTCTCTTTCTTCCTTTCCTTCCCTCCCTCCCTCCCACCCCCTTCTTCCCTCCCTCCCTCCCCCTTCCTTCCATTCCCTCCCTCCCTCCCTCCCTCCTTCCCTTCCTTCCTTCCTTCCTTTCCATTCCCTTTCTCCCTCCCTCCCTTCCTTCCATTCCCTTTCTGCCTCCCTCCCTCCTTCCTTCCTTCCTTCCTTCCATTCCCTTCCTCCCTCCTTCCCTTCCTTCCTTCCTTTCCATTCCCCTTCTCCCTCCCTCCCTCCTTCCTTCCTCCCTCCCTCCCTCCCTTCCTTCCTTCCTTCCTTCCCCAACTGCAACATAAGCCTCCCTTTCCACTTAACATTCCATCATTTCCTGTTTCTTTTTGAATCAGCAAATCTTGTTTGCTAACACTGCAGGAAAGATCAGAGTGTTGTAATTTGACCCCCATAATTAAAGGTCAAGTAAAGTGAATAGAATAAACAAAGATAATGCAACAGCCCCAAAGGAACCGTTCCTTTACTTTGGCCTTCTAATCATCTGAACTCTGCCTCTCTTTCTCAAACACAAACTTCCTAGTCCCTAAGAATTGCAGGATGGAACTATGACCTCCCTGGAAGAGGGAGAGAGGCCCATTCTCCCACTGAAGCTTAGCCAGTGGAGGATGCCTGGCTACCTGTCAGGAATAATCTAATCTGGATTTCTGCAAAGAACGAGGGGCTGGTCTAGATGACCTCAGAAGTTCCTTCCAATTCACACATCACGATTCTTTCATTCTACACTTAGCCAAGGAGCTTAATTTCCAATTCTTTCAGCAGTTCCAAGAAGGCTCCACACCCATTTGCACCACTCAGGTGACCCTGAGGACACAGGTCAACCTCCAGGTGGCCTCAATGACTCGCTAAAACAAGGGTCTTCAAACTTGGCCCTTTTATGACTTGTGGACTTCAACTCCCAGAATTCCTCAGCCAGCGTGAGGGAACTATGACCCTTTTATGACTTATGGACTTCAATTCCCAGAATTCCTCAGTAAGGCACGCTGGCTGAGGAATTCTGGGAATTGAAGTCCACCAGTCACCAAAGGGCCACATTTGAAGACGCCTGGTTTAGGACTACATACCTGTATTACATTCTTTATGAGGGGGAAAAAAGCAGAAATCCTACCCTTGTTCTACGTTTAGTGATAATTACCTCTCTTCCAGTCGCGGAGCCACAAAGCAGCCAACAAAAATCTGAACTAGGCCTCTATCCACTCTTTTTTTCCAGAATGTTCCTTCAAGATTTCCTCAAAATATTTCTCATACCTGCCTTACATATTCTATAGCAGGAGTTTTCAAACTTGGCCCTTTGATGACTGGTGGACTTCAACTCCCAGAATTCCTCAGCTAGGCGTGCCTGGCTCAAGAATTCTGGGAGTTGAAGTCCACGAGTCATGAAAGGGCCAAGTTTGAAGACCCCTGGTTTAAATATTTAAATATTTTTTCCTCACGGTCACATGATCAAAATTCAGGCATTTGGGCAGGGGTAGGCAACCTTGGCTCTCTTATGACTCGTGGACTTCCAGTCCCAGAATTCCTCAGCTAGGCGTGCCTGGCTCAGGAATTCTGGGAGTTGAAGTCCACCAGTCATAAAAGGGCCAAGTTTGAAGACCCCTGCTCTAAAAGAAGGCAAAGAACCAGCTGTCTGCAAGGAGACAGTGAGTTAATTGATACAGAACATCCCTGTCCCTGGCAATCTAAAAACTATAGGGCTACCAGTGCATGTAACATAGACGAGAATATCAACCTTGCTGTCAAGCAAAATCAAGCTTCTAATAGCGAGTGTCACACAAAGTGCACTAACCAAATAGGTGGTAAGATAATAGGGAAACTCAGGCACCACACAGGTTATGTAGGAAGTAAACACAGGGTCGGTCATAAAGGACTCAAATGTCTATACACCAATGCACAGAGTTATGAACAGCAAACAGGGTGAACTAGAAATTCAGGTTAATGAGGGCAGATATGATATCGTTGCCATTACGGAAACATGGTGGGATGAAACCCACACATGGAACACACAGCTAGAGGGATTTAAATTTTTTAAAAGAAACAGACCAAATAAAAGAGGAGGCGGAGTTGCTCTCTATATAAGAAATAACTACATCTCTACAGAAAGAGAGCACAACAATGATAAAAACTGTCTTGAATGCATTTGGGTCAATATAAAAGGGGGAAAAATGACATTGCCATAGGTGTATACTACAGGCCACCCAGCCAAACAGAGGAAATAGATGAACTTTTTGCTAGTCAGCTAACTGAAGTATGTAGGAAGCACATCACAATAGTAATGGGGGACTTTAACTACCCTGGCATCAACTGGGAGACAAACTCTGCACCAAGTGGAAGATCAAATAGGTTCCTTACAAACCTAACAGACAACTTTGTCTCCCAAAAAGTAGAGAAGGGAACTAGGGGATTAGCCATTTTGGACCTAATTCTCACTAACAGAGATGAAATGATAGAAGGTGTTGAAGCCATAGGAACCCTGGGAGGAAGTGATCATGTAATATTGAAATTCAACATTATGGAAGCACAAGCAATAGAACACAGTCAAACTAGAGTCTTGGACTTCAAGAGAGCTAATTTCAATAAACTTAGAGAGGGCTTGGGAAGGATTCCATGGATGAGAATCCTCAAGGGGAAAACAACTCAAGAAGCTTGGGACATTTAGAAAAGTGAGATAATAAAAGCCCAGTCCAGCACAATACCAACAAAGAGGAAAAATAACAGCTCTCAAAAGAAACCAGCATGGCTGCATAAAGAACACTCTGATCAATTGAAAGATAAAAATGACAATAGAAAGTGGAAAGTAAGTGGACCCTGTGGATATAATTTACTTGGACTTCAGTGAGGCATTTGATAAAGTAGATCACAACCTACTACTTAAGAAGATAGAAAAATATGGGTTAGCCAGCATCACCACCATCCGTAGCTGGCTGACCTGCTGTACTCAGAGTATGGTCCTCAATGGAACCACATCTACATGGAGGGAAGTATGTAGTGGGGTGCCCCAGGGCTCTGTTCTGGGCCCAGTGCTCTTCAACATCTTCATCAATGATTTGGACGAGGGGATAGATGGGGAAATCATCAAATCTGCAGACGACAGCAACCAGAATAGCCAACACTGCAGAAGACAGGCTTAGGATACAGGAGGATCTGGACAGATTTGAACACTGGGCACTATCTAACAACATGAAATTCAATGGTGAAAAAAGTAAGGTTCTACATTTAGGCAAGAAAAACCAAATGTACAGGTATAGTATAGGGGGTACATTGCTCAATAGTAGTAACTGTGAGAGGGACCTCGGAGTCCTAGTGGACAATCACTTAAATAGGAGCCAGCCGTGTGCTGCAGCTGCCCAAAAAGCCAACACAGTGCTAGGCTGCATTAACAGGGCTAGAATCAAGATCATGCGAAGTATTAATACCACTCTACAATGCCTTGGTAAGGCCACACTTGGAATACTGCATCCAGTTTTGGTCACCACAATGTAGAAAAGATGCTGAGACTCTAGAAAGGGTACAGAGCAACAAAGATGATTAGGGGACTGGAGGCTAAAACATACAAGGAACGGCTGCTGGAATTGGGTCTGTCTAGTTTAATGAAGAGAAGGATGAGGGGGGACAGGATAGCAGTGTTCCAATATCTCAGGGGCTGCCCCAAAGAAGGAGTCAAGCTATTTTCCAAGGCGCCTGAAGGCAGGACAAGAAGCAACTGAGGGAAACTAACCAAGGAGAGAAGCAACCTAGAACTAAGGAGAAACTTCCTGACAGTGAGAACAATTAACCAGTGGAACAACCTGCTTCCAGAAGCGGTGAATACTCCAACACTGGAAGTTTTTAAGAAGAGACTGGACAGCCATTTGTCTGAAATGGTGTAGGGTTTCCTGAGCAGAGGGTTGGACTAGAGGATCTCCAAGGTCCCTTCCAACTTTATTATTATTATTATTATTAGTAGTAGTAGTAGTAGTAGTGGTAGTATAAATTCTTCCCTTCCCCCACCATCCAGTCAGAACTGAAGAAGCTTCCTGGATGAGAATCAAAACATCTTCAAAGAAAAACAAGAAAGTCCAGTTGCCTCATGAAAAAACACCTTTGGGACAGCCATGATCTGGATGACTGAGAATCTCCACAGATTCCTTTTTCTTTCACGCATATACATACATCTCTACACACACACACACACACACACACAACACAACACACCACACACACACACACACACACACACACACACACACACACACACACGAATTTATGTTGCTAAGCCAAGCAGTGGCTAAGTGAGTTTTGCCCCATTTTATCACCAAGCAGTGGCTAAGTGAGTTTTGCCCCATTTTATCACCATTTTTGCTACAGTTTTTTCTTAGGCAAAACTAAGTGGTAAGTTGAGGACCACCTGTACGAATAGTAAACATTTAAATCTGAATAGCTGAGGTTTCCAGTCCTGGTCTGAATAAAAAGGATTAAGATTC